GCACCAAATTCCTTACTCCTGTAACTTTCTACCCTAGCATTCTGAACATTCCTCATAAATTCTCAAGCTGTATTTTGTTTGGTTCACATTGTGAGTTGTAGGCAGCACGTGCCAAACAGCTCTAACCCATCTGTGTAGGATGATGCTTTTTGTAGCTTTTCTAACCATCAAAATGTTAAATTCAAGATTCCCTCTCAAGTGTTCCATTCTCCTTTCAATACAAACATTGATCTTATTGGTCAGGTAGGACAGTTCTTATCTGTGGGTGACAGACCTATTGGAAATCAGTGGCAGAAACAACCAGGTGGTTTGTCATTGTCACATAACAGGAAGCCCAGAGATGCAGGGTGGGATGGGGTGGGTCCCCTGGGAAGTCCTCTGCCTGCTCCACCTCCCTCAGCACTCAGCACTCTCTCTCCTTACAGCAGGTTGGCCGGTATATGACCAAGAAGGATGAATGGGGAGGGGCAAAGGCCTTTTCTTTATTAGGTTTTGTCTTATTTACATGGAAATAATCCCAGGAGTTTTTTCTCATGTTAATAATGCAGTTTTGATAAGAATATTGGGGGGAGGAGGCTGGGTGACTCAATCAGGTGAGCATCAGACTCTTGATTTTGGCTCAGGCAAATATCCTAGGGTTTGGGATCGAGCCCCATGTCAGTTCTGCACTGAACATGGAGCCTGCTTAAGATTCTCTCCCTCTCTCTCTGTTCCCCAATTGTGTGCACCCTTTCTAAAATTAATTAATTAAAATAAGTACATTGGGGAATTTTCAAATTTCATATTACCACCTAAACAACAGAAATTAATTTAAAAAATGCTAAAAATTTTGCAGACCAAATTTAAAAATACCCTTTATTAATATTAAATGACAAAGTAGTCAAGGATATCTGTGGGATGAGACAAATTTAATCAGTGGACTTTGTTCTTCATGCTGAATGTATAATATTGCATGCAGTGCATGACCAGTCTGATATGTGTTCAAAAAGACTCAAAAATTATTTATCCTGTTTTCTAACTCACAGATTTATTTCCTTTGAAATTTGTTAATTTTAAGTTAATTTATCTAACTCTACAACTCATTTGCCACATTTCAATACAGATGTTCTGATTCTAGTACCATTTTTTCAAGTTTTCAAAAGTTTATTTTTCCACACTCAGTTCAGAGCCTGACCGGGGGCTTGATCCCATGATGCCATGAGGTCATGACCTTAGCCAAAATTTAGAGTTGGACACTTAACTGACTGAGCCACCCAGGCACTCCTTGATTCTTGTGTCTGGGTAGAAAAATGGAAGGACTGGTTTTGAGATTCCATTCTTCCTTAAAGTGAGAGATCTATAGAAGGCTTGTAGTTGGGAAATATTCTATCACTTCTGAATGTATTTTAATATTAGACTTGAACTTAGAACTTAATAGAAAAAGAATTGGGACACTGTCTAAAAACATCTTAGGTAATTGATCCAAACAGTAATTCACAACCCATTTCCACAATCATATTGTGTGGTGGGGCTATGTGTGCAACAGGAAAAAGACGGTAGCAGTTAGCATGAGGAAGACTGGTCTTTCCCAACCAAGTCAGTCAGGAGTAAACATTGAGGTTGATATTAAAGATTTGTTTATTTTTCCATGCTCAGTGAGGAGCCTGACCCAGGGCTCAATCCCACAATCCATGAGATCATGACCTGAGCCAAAATCAAGAGCTAGATGCTTAACCGAATGAGCCACCCAGGCAGTCCTTGGTTCTAGTATCTTGGTAGAAGAATGGAAGGACTGACTTTAATATGACATTAATTCCATTCTCCTTTGAAGTGAAAGAGCTACAAAAGTTTTGTAGTTGGGAAACAGTCTATCACTTCTGAGTGTATTTAATATTAGACTACAACTTAATAGAAAAAGAATCGTGACATCACAAGTCTAAAAATATCTTCAGTAATTGAAATAAACAGTATTTCATGACCATTTTCCACACTGATACTGTGTGGTGGGACTATGTGTATCAGGAAGAAAGTATTAGCTAGCATGAGGGATGACTGTGGTCTTTCCCAACCAAGTCAGTCAGGAGTAAACATTCAGGTTTGTATTAAAGAGTCTGGCTCTACTTTTGATCCCCGACTAATGTACCTGTGAAGCATCATTACAGCCTCTTACTATTCAGCCCATCTGGGCAGGGCAAGCTAATAATGGAGCTCTGGAGGTCCTTCCCTCAGCAGTAGTTTTAAGTTCACAGTGTCAATGAGTACTACCACCCTGGCCCCACACACTGTGCTTCCTAACATAGGAGTCCCCTCCCCTGCTTTCTCTAGCCATTTTCAGGACTTGAGAAGTCTCCCCTGCTCTCCCGAGAAAGCATCTTTATGTAATCAACATTCTCCTAACACTTGAGTGTAGGGAGTTCTCATTCTGGACATCTGACATCCTGTTTCTGTGGAGTAAGCACCAATGCAGATGAGCAAAAAAAGTTTTAGAGGGTAAATATGTGAGATTTCTAGTTATCAAACAAGATTCCCATTGTGTATTTTCATTCTTGAGAGTAAACTCATGAACATTTATCTTTTCAAATTATTCCAAACACCCCAGCACAAAATATACCTTTGTTACCTTTATCCTTACCTCTGAAATATTTAGTTCCTAATACTTTTCATAGTCTACTACTTTTCTATTTTTATTTAATGTAATGGTGCAACATATGGGTCTCATTTCAGCACAATAGGCATGCAGAAGTATAATCATATGGTGTATATTTATGCATGGGGAAGCAGGTTTTAGAGGATGAGAGTTTGAAATTGCATTACTGTGGTATTTTCATATAGCCAGAAACATAATCTTGGATATACTGTGGGGTGCATAACTCTCCAATTCAAGTTATGAATATATACTTCTAAAACTCTAGGTTTGAATGTAACATGGAAAAAAATTGTTACGGATGACATTCAACCTAGAGAGTCTAAGAATGTATTACTAGTATTCATTATGAAATGCCCCAGTGAGCTGGGATGTACCTGGGATAATAAAAGGCACACGGGGGCATCTAGGTGGCTCAGTTGGTTAAGTGTCCAACTTAGGCTCAGGTCATGATCTCGCGATTCATGGGTTTGAGCCACGTGCTGGGCTCTGTGCTGACAGCTCATAGCCTGGAGTCTGCTTCGGATTCTGTCTCCCTCTCTCTGCCCCTTCCCCACTCACACTCTGTCTTTATCTCTCTCAAAGATCTCAAGATCTTTTGTCTTTATCAAAAAATAAACATTAAAAAAAAGGCATGTAATTCATTTAGGGTTACACAAAAGCTTACGTTTTACTTACTCTAGATATGAGAAACAGGGTACCATAGATAAAATGGTTATCAAAATGCAATTTCAGTGGGCAAATTTGAAAACTTCACAAGTATAATACTGTTGGGTTTATTTTGGTTTTGGTTTCGCTTGGGAGCTCGAGTAGGTGAGAAGGTCAGAGAGAGAGACAGAATATTAAGCAGGCTCCATCTCCATGGTGAACTTAACACAAAAGTTGATCCCATGACCCTGAGCCAGAATTCAACATACTGAGCCACCCACGTGCCTCTTCTTTGGTTCTTTAATTAAAATGTCCTCTAGACCTTTCTCTTCAGTTTCCAAAAATAAGACTAATTTTTTACTCATTGATGATATTTAACAGCGATTACCTTTCAAGAGAGGGAGAGACCATCATTCCTCCTCCATTTTCTCTACCACATATACCATCCCTAGTAACCCATCATTCTTACATGAAAATCTCATTCTCCCAATGTCTCGAACTACTGTTTCATGATCATCTATCTGAAAGAGTAATCCTTCCCTGTAATAAAATCAACGAAGTCTCAGTGATATCAACGAACCCAGAGAAGTGACTGTGACCATAGAAAACATGGCAATTTAGACAGCAGTTTTACATCTATTCCCTGCCACTCCCCATGCTCTCAAATTTATACTATACTGTATCTTGAAATTAGCATCCTAGTTTTTCCCGGTTATATAGTATGACTAAGCACCACCTAATCAAATAGGTTCCTTACCAGTGCTTTCTAAGACCACCATGGTTGAAAAATGAAACACATGTAATGAAAGTATAACATCAGTGGATTCCAAACATGAGGTTTTAAGTCCTCAATAATACTGTTGCCTCAAAGAATATTAAATAAAATTTTACTTTTGAAAGAGGGAAAGAGACAGTGTGAGTGGGGGAGGGGCAGAGAGGGAGACACAGAATTCAAAACAGGCTCAGGCTCTGAGCTGTCAGCACAGAGCTTGAGGTGGGGCTCAAACCCATGAACTGTAAGATCATGACCTGAACCAAAGACAGACACTTAACTGACTGAGCCAACCAGGTGCCCCAAGAATATAAAATAATGTAGTAAAAAAAAAAAAAAGGTTATAGGGGTGCCTATCTGACTCAGTTGGAAGAGCATGTGACTCTTGATCGTGCAGTTGTGAGTTTGAGCCCCATGATGAACGTAGACGGAAATAAAATCTTTAAAAGAGATTTAAACAGAAGATTAGGTCTTTCCACAGATATACTTGTTGCACTGACACACTTCATCTCATGAATTTTAAATAATTTTAATTTTTTATGGACTTTAACATCTAAGATTGGTTAATACTCAAAATATTTTTTAAATGTTTTATTTATTTCTGAGAGAGACAGACACACACACACAGCGTGAGCAGGGGAGGGTCAGAGAGAGAGGGAGACACAGAATCTGAAGCAGGCTCCAGGCTCTGAGCTGTCAGCACAGAGCCCAATGCAGAGCTCGAACCCCCAAACCGCGAGATCATGACCTGAGCCAAAGTGGGACGCTTAACCAACTGAGCCACCCAGGTGCCCTGGTTAATGCTCAAAATAAATCTAGTTCCCCCTAGTATGAATTTTCTTGTGGTAGTCCACTGAAAGAATAGACTAAATAAATTATCACCTTCATTACATTTGTAATGTTTCTATCCAGTATGAATTATTTGTTGTGAATTCTTTCAGGACCACAAAGTTGTACTTTTTTTTTTTTTAAATCACTGGGAGTCTATACCTCTTAATCCCATTCATTTATTTTTACCCTCTTCCCCAAGTTGTATACTTTTATAAAGCTGATCACACTCATTCCATTTGTAAGATTTCTCTCTGGAAAGAATTATGTTCCAAAGGTATAAGCTTTGGATAAGCCTTGCCATACATTCCATTTGTGTGCCTTCTTTTGGAGATTTATATTCTGATACCAGGTGAGGTGTGAGTCCTGGTTACAAGCTCTCCCACATACATTAGTTTCATATGGTTCTTCTCCATGATGGAATCTCTGATGTTGAGTAAGACTTGAACACTTGCTCATTTTATCTGCAAGGTTTCTTTCTACGATGAGTTCTTCGATGATCCCCAAAAGTTGAGCTTTGAATAAAAGCACTGCCACACATACTTGGCTTATACTCTTTTCTTTTCACCATGTATTTTCTGATGCCTCGTAAGTTTTGCAGTTGGGTTAAAGCTGTGCCACACTCTCCCATATGGATTTTCTTATGTGAGTAAGATATGAATGCTTCGTTAAAGGCTCTGCCACACTCACTACATTTGTTTCTCTCCAGTATGCGTTCTCTCATGACTCCAAAGGTCTGAACGTTTGATAAAAGCTTTATCACATTTATTACATTTATAAGGTTTTTCTCCTGTATGAACCCTTCGATGTCTCATAAGGCTTGAACTTCGGATAAAATCCTTGTCACACACATTACATTTGTGTGGTTTTTCTCCAGTGTGGATTTTCTGATGTGTACTAAGGGTTGCAAAATGGGTAAATGCTTTGCCACACTCACTACATTTGTAAGGTTTCTCTCCAGTATGCGTTCTCTCATGACCCCAAAGGTCTGAACGTTTGATAAAAGCCTTATCACATTTATCACATTTATAAGGTTTTTCTCCTGTATGAATTCTCTGATGTGCCATAAGGTTTGAACTTTGGATAAAGTCCTTGTCACACACATTACATTTGTGTGGTTTCTCCCCAGTGTGGATTTTCTGATGCCTAGTAATAGATGCAAACTGGGTAAAAGCTTTGCCACACTCGTTACATCTGTAAGGTTTCTCTCCGGTATGGATTTTTCTGTGTTGAGTAAGATTTGAGCGCTCAGCAAAGGCTTTGCCACACTCACTACATTTGTAAGGTTTCTCTCCAGTATGAGTTCTTTCATGACCCCAAAGGTCTGAACGTTTAATAAAAGCCTTATCACACTTATTACATTTATAAGGTTTTTCCCCTGTATGAATTCTCCGATGTGCCATAAGGCTTGAACTTTGGTTAAAAGCCTTGTCACACACATTACATTTGTGTGGTTTCTCTCCAGTGTGTATTATCTGATGACTAGTAAGGTTTGCACACTGGGTAAATGCTTTGCCGCACTCATTACATTTATAAGGTTTCTCTCCAGTATGGATTTTCTTATGTCGAGTAAGATTTGAACGGTCTGTAAAGGCTTTGCCACAGTCATTACATTTGTGAGGTCTCTGTCCACAATGAATTCTCTCATGACTCATGAGGTTTGAGCTTTTGCTAAAAGCCTTCCCACAATCATTACATTTGTAAGATTTTCCTCTGGTGTGTGCTCTCTTGTGTGTAGGTAACGAATGATATTTAAAAATCTTCCTAGATTTATTCCAAATGTTTTTGGTACTGGGAGGAATTCTTTCAAGTGGTGACACTGAGGAACCACTGCTAACACACTTCTCAATTGGATTACATCCATACATTTTCTCCTCACTGTGCAATCTCTGCAGTTCAGCCAGACTTAATCCAATTGTATTTTCCAGGCAGTTCATGTATTGGTTTCCAGCACCACGCAGGTTATTGTCCACTTTTAACAAATTCCTCATAAATGGCTCATCATCCTTGAAATACTGGTATGTATTATTTCTCACAGAAACACTCCGCTTTTCAGGAAGGGTAACCGAGGATTGATTAAGCTGTTGATCTTTTCTACTAGTGAAATTTTTGTAATGGGTTAAAGGCACTTCTTTATAATTTGCTTTATATCCCCACTGACTTTCAAACTCATGGATATTTTCCCAGACTTCCCTGAGATCAAATTCCTTGATGTCATGACTTCCATTTCTTTCCAATATCACTAAGTGGTAAAAGTCTCCTTTATTAATGTCCTCTGTTGGTGATAATTCCTTGACAGCAGATCCATCAGAAGGGCCTCCTATCAAATAGAGTTGGAAGGGAAAATTTTATACTGAATCACATAATTACACAACCAAATAACACTTTATACTGAACACAGGAAGTTTCTCAAGATGGTCTTCAAATACTATTGTAAATACAATATTTTTAAGTTTTTTAAAATAAATTTTTCCATATTAATAATTTCTCATAATTTTAAAGTAATTTTTCCAAACACATATTATACACTATCCGTATTTTTTGGCCATATAACTGGATAATGAAATGAAATTTCATGATTAGAGAGCTCATCTATACACTGGCTATTATACAACTGTGCATGAAATCATAGAGATGTCTGTTTTCCTTAATTCCTAATCTTTATAAAAATGTGTGTTTACCTGAACCCGATATTTCATAATTCAGTGATTCTCAACAAATCTTTCATACTGTATGTTCCTTATGGAATGTATATTCTGTCTTTAGTTCTCAAGGAAGAATTCTTTAGAATTCCAGAGACTATTATTTTGTGTAACTGTGGTTATTTATTAACTTAACCTGCTAGATCTATCAATTTTTTTAAATTTTATTTTTTTAATGTTTTTATTTATTTGCGAGAGGGAGACAGCGTGAGCAGGGGAGGGTCAGAGAAGGAGGGAGACACAGAATCTGAAGCAGACTCCAGGGTCTGAGCTGTCAGCACAGAGCTCGACGTGGGGGCTTGAACCCACAAACCGTGAGATCATGACCTGAGCCTAAGTGGGAAACTTAACTGACTGAGCCACCCAGGCGCCCCTAGATCTATCAGTTTTTAGATTATACTATACAGATTTCTTGTAATAATGTCTTGTTTCTTTCATCATGTCCTCATACATTATTAAACACACATTATTATTAAACACCAGATCAAGTTGCAGTCCTGAGCAATATGTGTTATGTATGAAGAGGGGTCTTTCTGCAGTGTGGGGAGGTCCTATGGACACTGAGGTGCTTTTGTGCTCAAAATTAATATACCTGGAGATAACAGTATGCTTTGTTTAGAGTAGTGAAAAATCTGAGGAAAGGCTAGGACTTGGATTTGGAAAATCAAGAGTGAAGCACAAGGTGTAATGGGCCATGTGGCGATAGTGCTTGTGCTTCCACAGCTATGGGAACATGATTGTGTTATAAGTTAAACACCTGACCCTGGTAAAAGGAACTAATTTGGCAACAGGCATAATACTGACTCATCCTGTAAGAATATATAGTTTTGGTATGAGAGAAAAGTGGAAAACATTCAACAGGGAGACAGTATAGTATTATAGGAAGACTATAGGCTGCCATCTATTTTAGTATTTGCTCAAAAATTATCAAATTGAATATCCCATGAATTCCATTACTAGGTATATACTCAAGGGAGTTATATAATATACACATGTTCCAGGAGACATGTACAAAAAATTCTTTTAAGTCTATTTATTTACTTAGAGAAAGAAAAGAGGTTGGAGTGGGGCAGAGAGAAGGATAGAGACAGAATCAAAAGCAAGCTCCACACTGTCAGCACAGAGCCCAATGCAGGGCTCAAACTCAAGAACTGTGAGATGACCTAAGCCAAAATCCAGAATCTGACATTTAATCGGCTGAGCGACCCCGATACCCCCAAATAATGTATTATTATATAAAAAGCAATGACAAATAAATCTCATATTTCTGTGACTAAGGCAGTAACTTAAAAAAGTATATTCTCATGATATCACAAATTTTCAGCTTAAAGAATGCCATAGATTTAACTGAGGAAAATGTGTTACAACAATGAGATATCACTGTACACATTTATGCGAATGGCCAAAATCCAGAACAGTAACACCAAATACTAGTGAGGATGTGTAGTAGTAAGAATTCTCATTAATTGCTGGTGAGAATGCAAAATGGTGCACCACTTTAGAAGACAGTTTGCAGTTTCTTACAGAATTAAACATACCACAAAATGTGATTTAGCAATCATACTCTTTCATACTTACAAAAATATGTTGAAAATTTACATCCACTTAAAAACCTAGAAAAATCCTAAAATTTGTATGGAACCACAAAAGAATCCAAATGCCTCAGCATCTTCAGAAAGAAGAACAAAAATATATGAATCACATTTCCTGATTTCAAACTCCCTGATTACAAATTGTGGTAATTAAAACAGTATGGTATTAGCATAAAGATAAACACATAGATCACCAGAACAGAATAGAGCCCAGAAATAAACTTACACACATGGTCAATTAATTTACAACAAAGGAGACATGACTGTACAATGGGAAAGCACAATCTCTTCAATAGATGCTTCTGGGAAAACTGGACCACTGGCTGACACCAAACACAAAAATTAACTCAGAATGGATTAAAGACTCAAATCTAAGACCTGAAACCATAAAACTCCTAAAAGAAAAGATAGAGGGTAAGAAGCTCCTTAAAACAGGTCTGAGCAGATTTGTTTGTTTTGACTTTTGACACCAAAAGAAAAACCAACAAAAGCAAAAATAAGTGGGACTATATCAACCAAAAAATTGTCTGCACAGCAAAGGAAATACTTTCAGCAAAATGAAAAGGCAGCCTACTAAATGGGAGAAATATTAGCAAATCATGCATCTGATAAGGGGCTAATAATCCAAAACACAGCTCAAAAATGCTCAAATAATCCAATTTAAGAAATGGGCAGAAGATCTGAATAGATATTTTCCAAAGACCTAGAGATGGCCAACAGGACCATGAAAGGATGCTCAACATCATTTATCATCAAGGAAATGCAAATCAAAACCACAGTGAGATATCACTTCACACCCATTAGAATGGCAGTTACTTAAAAAAAATTTTTTTTTAATGTTTTTTATTTATTTCTGAGAGACAGTATGAGCAGGGGAGGCTCAGAGAAAGAGGGAGACATAGAATCTGAAGAAGGCTCCAGGCTCTGAGCTAGCTGTCAGCACAGAGCCCGATGCGGGGCTCGAATCCACCAACCAGGAGATCATGACCTGAGCCGAAGTGGGACGCTCAACTGACTGAGCTACCCAGGTGCCCCTAGAATAGCAGTTATTAAAAAGACGAGAAACAACATGTGTTGGTGATGGGGTAGAGAATTTGTGCACTGTTGCTGGGAGCCAATGGTATAGCCAAGAAAACTACTGTGGATCCACCAATTCTACTTCTGAGTATTTATCTGAAGAAAACAAAAATACTAACTCAAAAGATAAAAGCATTCTGATGTTCACCGAAGCATTGTTTACAATAAGTGAGATTCAGAAACAGTCTGAGTGTCCATTGATGGGTGAATGGGTAAAGTTGTGTGTATACAACACAATATTATCCAGCCATAAAAAAGAATAGAATCTTGTCATCTGTGACAACATAATGACCTTGAGGACATTATGCTAAGAGGAATGAGTCAAAGGCCAATACAGTATAATTTCTTATATGTGGAATCTTAAAAAAAACGAAAACAACCCCTCTTAGATACAGAGAACATACTGGTGGTCCCCAGAGGCAGGAAGTTGAGGTGATGCTGGCAGAAATGGTTGAAGAGATCAAAAGAATAAAAAAAAGAGGGATGCCTGGCTGGCTCAGTTGGTAGAGCATGCAACCCTTGACCTTGCAGTTGTGAGTTCAGACCCCACAATGGGTACAGAGATTACTTAAAATCAAAAACTGCTGCTGCCTCTTGAATTCTTAAAACAAACAAAACACAACACAGCCCAAAAATTATCAATACAGTGCTTTCCGTATAACCAGGAATGCAATAAACATCTGTAGAATGATACATGTTTTTCCTACAGAAAAGATTATCAGTAAGCTATATTGTATTTAACCTACATCTAATTTTGGATTTTCACTTTTTGGAATTATCCACATCCAGATAGGCCCAGGAAAGAAAGAGATAGACTTTAGCTCTACTTTATTAGATAGATATTACATTTTGTGTGTCTCCTGAGAAGTTCTTCCAGGGATACAAAATGGAAACGGAAAGTGAATAGGTCCTGAGCTATGCACTACAGAAGCCTCACCTCTGACCTGTATGGAATGAGAACCAAGAGATCAGGGGAAAGACTCGTTAGGGACAGTCATCTCAGTCCCGCTCATACCTCGGAACCAGTATGGTCAGAGGGGCCAGGTAACAATGTTGTAGGTCCTAACAGTGGGAGTTTAAACATTGGAATAACAGAATCAGAAATGTGTGTGGGATGAAGGAGGATTTCCTTTGAAAGCTCCTAAGAAATAAACTTGTATTTTCCCACAGATCCTTCCCAAACAATATTTACTGGAGCTGCTTACTCTCTGCCCATCTGAGCTCTAACTTGTGCTCACATCACAGTACATTCCCACCTGTCTGGATGTCCCCCATATTCACTTCACTATGTGGGAAGAGGGCTTTTCCCCTGGGAAGAGATTGATAGAGATGATATTCAGCTGAAGCAGAGATTTCCACTT